CTGTGGCTCAAGTGGTAGAGCGCTAGCCTTGAGCTGAAGAGCTGAGGGACAGCGCCCAGGCCCAGAGTTCAGGCCTCACGACAGACCCCCCCCCCAAAAAAAAAGAGTTTCTTGGCCTTTCTTCCCTGGGCAGCTTTGAATCACAATGCTCAAATCTCAGCCTCCTGAGTAGCTAGGATTACAGGCCTGAGCCACTGGTGCCCAGCATAGAATGGAGTTTTGATTCAGCACTTCCCTGAGTACAGATCCTGGTTCCATTCTCCAGAATGCAATCATTTTTCCAAATGTATTTACTGATCCCTACTCCCTTCCCTAGGGTGGAAGCATTGTCTAGCCCAGCACATTCCTCAATGAGTTTACTGATCCCTGTTCCCTTTGCTAGCACAGAAGTCTTGATTTTCCCAGGCCTTCTCTGCACATGTGTGCACTGACCCCAGCTCCATTGTTCAGAGCATGGTCAAGGTGCTGTCCTGTCAGTGGCTGTGAGCTGTGGCTGTCCTCACAGAGGGCAAGTCTGCCAGAGGCCTCGGTGTGCACAGCCTCCCCTCCGGAGGAGCCTCCGAGGCCACCCGAGCCGCAGGGTTCTGTGTTCGGAGGGAATAGTCCTAAGATTCTGTTACTCGTTCTCACAGAACCACTGCAGATCTGATTCTGCATGGGTTTGCACAAGGCCAGCGCTCTACCACTTGAGCCACAGCGCCACTTCCAGTTTTCTGCTGGTTCATGGGAGATCAGAGTCTCACGACTTTCCTGCCCAGACTGGTTTTGAACCTCGATCCTCAGATCTCAGCCTCCTGAGTACCTAGGATGACAGACATGAACCACGGACGCCCGGCCTAAAAAAATATTTCTATTGTTATTTTATTTTTATTTATTACCAATCCTGAGTCTTGAACTCAGGGCCTGGGCGCTGTCCCTGAGCTGCTTTTGCTCAAGGCTAGCACTCTACCCCTTGAGCCACAGCACCACTTCTGGCTTTTTTCCCCCATTTATGTGGTTCTATTGTTATTTTAAAGGTGATGTGCAGAGGATTTAGGGTTGTTTTTTTTTTTGAAGGGACTGTGTGTACCAGTCCTGGGGTTTGAACTCAGAGCTTGGGTTCTGTCCCTGAGATCTTTTTATTTTTGCTCCAGGCTGGTACTCTACTACTTAAACCACAGCTCCACTATGACTTTTTGGTGGTTCTTTGGAGCTAAGAGTCTCATGGGCTTTCCTGCCCTTGGCTGGCTTTGAACCTGGATCCTCCAATCTCAGCCTCTTGGTAGCTGGGATTACGGGTGTGAGCCACAGCGCACGGTGTGATGTTCTAACACCCTAGTGCACGCAGGACGGCTCCGCAGCGCATCGACAGTCCTAAGAAGTAGCAGCTTCAGAAATGTCTGGTATGGAAGGGTCCCCCACCCCTCACCCCCACATCTCTTCAAATGGGGGGACAGACCTTCATCCAGGACCTTTGCAGTGAGACGCTGCTAGAGGAAGGCTTTGGTGTGCCCTGGCCTCCGCCCAGACTGATGCTTGATTTTCTTTTCCCAGCGATTGGAATGATGGCTCTTCTTACGACTGTGCCTAGCTGACGGGGTCTGGACTCGGGTCTGCCATGTCTTCCATTGGTGCCCTGCTCCACCCAGCATGTGTGTATGTGTGTGTGTGTGCGCGTGCACGCACGCCAGTCCTGGCTTGAACTCTGGGCCTGTGCACTGTCCCTGAGCGTTTTCCTTCAAGGATTAGTGCTCTACCACTTGAGCCACAGCTCCACTTGCAACTTTTGGGTGGTTAATTGGAGAAAAGAGTCTCACAGATTTTCTCACCCAGACTGACTTTGAACCACGATCCTCAGATCTCAGCCTTCTGAGCAGCTGAGATGACAGTCATGAGCCACCAGCGCCCAGCACCTACCACTAGCAAATTGCTTTTTTCTTTCTTTTTTGTTAGTCCTGGGGCTTGAACTCTGGGCCTGGGTGCTGTCCCTCAGCTCTTCAGCTCAAGGCGAGCGCTCTACCACTTGAGCCACAGAATCACTTCAAGTTTTCTGCTGCGTCATTAGATGTAAGAGTCTCATGGACTCTCCTGGCTCGGGCTGGCTTTGAAACTTGATCCTCAGGTCTCAGCCTCCCGAGATTCTAGGAAGACAGGCGTGAGCCACCAGAACCTGGCTGCTAGATTTTTTTTTTTTTTTTCCTGGTTGTGGGGCTGAGCTCAAGGTCAGGCAGCTAAGAAAAGTCTCATGGATGCGCCTGCCCAGGCTGGCTTTGAACTGCGATCCTCAGATCTCAGCCTCCTGAGTGGCTGGCATTACAGGTGTGAGCCCCCAGCTCCTGGTGAGCCTGTCAGCCGCGCTCTGGCCTACAGCGTGCTTCCTTCACAGCAGAGACGCCTGCGCCCAAGGCTTCCTGTGGTAGGGGGTGATGAGTGCTGTTTGGATCTCTGGAACTTTCTCATCAGGAAAAAAGTTCTGCTTCTCGGCTTTGTTGCTAATCAGCCAGCAAAGTTTCAACTGGAAGCGAAGGGAGCGCAGGAGGGGGTGCCCCGGGGCGAGGGGAGCTCGTTACCACTCCCCCAGCACGAGTCTGAAGCTCTCCTGCCCGCAGCTCCCAGGCAGGCCCTTGGGGAATTTTGTTTTTAATTTGCACAAATGAACGTGGAGATGGAAAATTGCAGGCCAACTTTTAACGAACTCCTAGGAGACTGCGGAAGGCCCATGGCAGGTTTGCACAGGAAACTTGGAATGGGGTGCTCTGGGATTGTTAGGGCAAGTTGTGCCAGAGGAGATCCCAATGGGCTTTGTATTGGCAGGGGAAACTCGAACCTTCTTGGTCTCTGATGTGTCATCCTGGGAGCGATGCCCAGTGGAGCTCTGCCTTCAGGGGTGCTGGGAAGGTTAGGCTGCTGATGGCAGATTCAAGAAACTTCTAATTGTAGAATCTCAGGACACAGCTTTAATTGGCCTCTCTCTAGAGCTTGTTTTGAACTTTAAACACCAGCCAGCAAGTCTCCGGGGCAAAGTGCCGCTCGCCACATTACATGCCACACAGTAATCACCAAGAAGAGACCTGCAGAGCCTGCCATCCCACAGACGCCATTTTAGAGAAGATGTGGGTTCAAGCCAGGAGCCAGTGGCTCACGCCTATCATCCTCGCTACTCAGGAGGCTGAGATCTGAGGATCAAGGTTCAGCCAGCTCGGGCAGGAAAGTCTATGAGACTCTTATATCCAATGAACCACCAGAAAACCAGAAGTGACGTGTAGCTCAAGTGGTAGAGCGCTCACCTTGAGCTGAAGAGCTGAGGGACAGCGCCCAGGCCCAGAGTTCAAGCCCCACGACTGACAAAAATAATTAAAAAATAAAAAAATAAATGCCAGATAGGACTATTTCAGTGGAGTCCTAAAGATGTCTGTCGATGTACCACAGGCCATATTGTGGGTGGTACCCATTCATTCATCATTAATCATTCATCAGATCCTACTGAGCAATTTCTGCATTCCAAGGTCTGCGAATTCAAACACAGAGCCAGCAAGAGGAGGTCCTGGGATCTCCTGTTTTAATCTAATGAGGAGAAGATAATTTGCAAGAATACAAATTAATGAGCAGAATAGTTCATTACATGCACCAGTGTCTACTATGCCAATATTGGCAAATTGTATCCCTGAGGAATTGGATCTCATGTTTGTAGGAATCAGCTTGGTGCTGGTGGCTCACACCTGCGATCCAAGAAATTCAGGAGGCAGAGATCTGAGGATCATGGGTTTTTTGTTCGATTGTCAGTTGTGAGGTTAGAACTCAGGACCTGTGCACTGTCCCTGAGCTTTTTCCTTCAAGGCTTAGTGAGCAAACAGCTGCACTTCCAGTTTTTGGGTGGTTCATTGGAGATAAGACTCTCAGGGACTTTCCTGCCCAGGCTGGCTTTGAACTGCCATCTTTGGAGCTCTGCCTCCTGAGAAGCTAGGATCATGGGGGATGAGCCACTGGCACCAGGCTGAGGATCATGGTTTGAAGCCAGCCTAGGCAGGAAAATTGTAAGACATTTATTGCCAATTAAATATTTTAAAAAATCCTGATGTGGGCTGCCGGTGGCTCATGTCTGTCATCCTAGCTACTCAGGAGGCTCAGATCTGAGGATCGCGGTTCAAAGCCAGCCCGGGCAGGAAAACCCATGAGAGTCTTATCTCCAATAAACCACCACCAGAAAACTGGAAGTGGCGCTGTGGCTCAAGGGGTAGAGCGCTCGCCTCGAGCTGAAGAGCTGAGGGACAGCGCCCAGGCCCAGGGTTCAAGCCCCACGACCAGCAAAAAAAGCCAGAACTGGAAGTGTGACTCAAGTGGTGGAACACCGGCCTCGAACAGGAAAAGCTTAAGGTACAGCACCCAGGCCTCGGTCTCGGCGTGCGTGCACGCACGTGTGCACACACACACACATTACCTTTCCCCGCTGACCTCGGCGCCTGGAGGAGGGGCCGCAGGGACGCGCCCCGCACTCCGTCCCCGCGGCCTGGCGGACGGTGGCAGTGAAGGCCGAGCAGCCGGCCTGCGGTCCGGGCAGGTGCGTGCTCAGCGCGTGCAGGTGCAGGTGCGCGGCTCCCGCCCAGCCTAACCCCGCCTCACTGCTTCATTGGTCGGTCGTGGGCTCGAACTCGGGGCCGGGCGCTGTCCTCAGCTGCTCGGCTCGAGGCCGGCGCTCGTCCCCTTCAGCTCAGCGCCACTTCGGGTTTCCGGGCGGTTCACTGGAGATCAGGGTCTCGCGGACTGTGCTGCCCGGCTGGATCTCAGCCTCGGATCAGCCGGGATGACAGGCGTCCGCCCGGCGCCCGCCCCGGCTCCGCCCGGGCCACCGCCGTCAGCGCGGGTCAGCTCCGCGCTCCCACTCCCGCCGGACAGCGGCTGCGGCCCCTGTCGGTCGGGCCTTGCGGGGGGCGGTCCCTGAAGCGTTAGCCAATCAGAACGCGGCAGCGGCGGCGGCTCTGTCCAATGAGGAGCGCGGAGGGGCCCCGCCCACGGCGCGGGTCGTCGGGGCCCGGCTCGGGCCGGGTCTCCACCGAGGCCGTCCCGGAGCGCGGGGCCGCGGGGCCCGCATCGAGTGTCTCCCCACGACCACCAGAAAATAAGCAAGAAAGCAAGCTCGGTTCTGGGGAGGAAAGGGGGTCAAACCGATTCCCGGGACTCCAGAACTCCCAGATCCCAGCCGGCTGCGGACGCAGAGCCGACCCGCAGCAGCCGCGGAGGTCTGGAGGTCTCGGCGCGACCTCGCGGAGCCCGCGGGCCCCGCGCCGGCCTGGGCGTGGTGGGGCGGGATGTCCGGGGAAGACGCTGAGGGTCCCGGGTCTCCTGGGAGCAGAGTTTGTGTCGCCGGGGTTTCTGGTGTCAGCACTCGGGGTGGGACGGAGATCTCCCGGCCCTGAATTTTCTAGATGGGAAAGCAGGCGCTCGGTGGGCCGGGGTTCGAGTCCTCAGCACCCCATAAGCAGAAAAACCCCGGAGCCGCAGGACCGGACCCAGCCCGGAGGTCGGTGCCCAGCGCTGGCGCGTGCGCGTGCGCACACACACCACCCACAAAGCCTACAGGACTTCCTGTCACCCTTAGTAGAAACTTCTAGCACGTGCGTTTATTTCTGGCCTCCCGTGGGCGGGGCAGTCACCCCTGACAGCTGGAGGCCAGGACTCCCGTTTTGCCAGCGCTGAGCACGCCTCTGGTCATTCCCGTCCCCCATGCGCTGGCGGGGGCAGCACCGCGGGGCTCTGCGCTCCCAGGCCGCCATGCGCTGGCGGGGGCAGCACCGCGGGGCTCTGCGCTCCTAGGCCGCCATGCGCTGGCGGGGGCAGCACCGCGGGGCTCTGCGCTCCTAGGCCGCCATGCAGCACCGCGGGGCTCTGCGCTCCTAGGCCGCCATGCAGCACCGCGGGGCTCTGCGCTCCTAGGCCGCCATGCGCTGGCGGGGCAGCACCGCGGGGCTCTGCGCTCCTAGGCCGCCATGCAGCACCGCGGGGCTCTGGGCTCTGCGCTCCTAGGCCGCCATGCGCTGGCGGGGCAGCACCGCGGGGCTCTGCGCTCCTAGGCCGCCAT